GATTTTTATTTTAGTTAACAAACAACCTAAAACTGTTTATAACTACTAACCTCTTTTATAAGTATTTGCTCATAAATATGAATTTAACATAGTTATCATTTAAACATCACGGACCAATGTATGTTAGACAACTACTGAAAACCTTGAAGCACTGGACATTTGTTTCATCCTGGTATCAGACTCCTCAGGAGTGGGGATCCACATCCTCGTAATCGGGAGTCGAATAGAGGACCTTCGATATCGTGAACAAACACTTAACCTCTAAGACACTTGACCGGTCATTCAACGATGTACAAGTCTAACTTCAATCAATCTACGATAATGCGTGATTATCTTCCATTGTGTTCGGTGAGTACCTCTCTCACACCCGTTTACGTTGAACTCGACTTGTCACAACCTCGCACTATAACTCAAGAAATTTCTTCTCGATTACCAAAATTTAAAAACCTTTTTATTTGCTAATATTCGTTGAAAGAAAGGAATTAAAAAAAACATTTTGTTCCTTTAATAAATTTGAATAACACAATGAGAAGATGAAGATGATCAGAACTATGTGATAATACTAAACCAATACACTTTGAACAGTCAAATTATATATTTACTTTGCAAGGTATATATATATATATATATATATATATATATATATATATATATATATATATATCAGATGGGTTTTGTGGATATTATAGTAATTTCAGTGATTAAGATCATGAGTCAGTTGAAGCTAGACCACCGTGGAAAGCCTGGGAGTACTGGACGGTCTAGTGGTTAAGGGCTCGTGCACGAAACCATTAGGTCCTGGGTTCTAATCTCGCAGAGGGCGAGGTCGTGGATGCGCACTGCTGAGGAGTCCCACAACATATATATATTTAAAATAAAAACCGACTAGACGAATTGAAAGATAAGAAAAAAACGAAAGAAAATCAGGAAAAAAAAAGAATTATATCACTCAATAATAAATCAATATTACCAAGATAGGTTGAGTGTAAGCACAAAATGTTTTTGAACACAAAAATTGAAAGTTTTTATACAAGATTACAAAGGCTGAGTTAAGATCAATTTTACAACCTATTTCAACTTTACATTTGACAGTGGAAAAAGATGAATGTTTTCATCAGCTTTTATTGGATAATTTGATTTTGTAAACATATCAACAACATCATAAGAATAATCCAAAATGAATTATTTAAGATACACTTCTAAAAAAAAACCGATTTGTTAAATATTCAAACATCAAGAAGCTTTAAATTCTACTCATGATTGTTAATTGAAAATAGAAATAAATAAGATACTAGCCCCTAAAAGCCGTGGTACGGCTGAGAGTGGGGAGAGTCCGCTCACCCTTTCAAAATGCTCTCAAATGGCCACGCGTATATAGCCTCTGCCAGGGAAGTCCTACTCACTGCCTTCTCGTGGCGGGGGTGTTGTTTACGAAAATGAGAGGACGAAAGACGAATGTCCGGCGATTTAACCGGGTTCCAAACCAATGATGCACATGGTCTCCAGTATCCTGGAGGAACAAATGGAGTATGAACCAATCGTTGGTCACCGGCTTCCATGGGACTGCATCTCCTTACGATGCTCCACTGCCTTGTGGGTTAGACCTTTATGTCAAAGAGTGTGGCCCCCTAAGAAATCCACTTGCTTCAGTTTGGGCACCCGGGTAGTATCACAGCCCTCACACATATCGAATGAGATTTGTGTGGCGCATATTTATTTGGTGCCTTCTTGTACCAATATCTAAGTGTTAAAATAAAATATAAAAAATTCTGAATATATATATATAACTATAAAAAAAGAATTCTCAACTGATATCTATCTAATAAAGTTTATAAATCAGCATGTGGGCTCAGTTACTAAGTACAGATCGAAGTAACTTGGTTTTTACAACTGTAGACACATCCAAATAATAAAAATTTTAATTGTTGTTTAGATTCTGATTCATTCTACCATTTTCTTCATTTAACCTTCAATTAAACAAATGTTTCTCAGATTGTTTCAGTATGATTCATGGTTTGAATTTCTATTTTTTTTTTTAAAAAAAACTGATTTAATTGAGAGATCATTTAAACAAGTTAATGAATCAACTTAATTGTGTAATTTTTTTGAAGTGTGAAGCCTTGAATTTTTTATATTAAATTTAAACAAAATCTGGGTAAAGGTTATTATCATCAGAATTTCATTTCATATTTCATCTGTATTAATTTATGTTATCAATGTAAAACGTCCTTTACAATTAGTTAATTTAGTTTTAACAGGGGTAATTTAGTCAGTGACATGAATAAATAGTTAAAACGTTTTGCAAACACAAAGAATTATGTTTTTGAATGAGTTCTGTAGGATGATATGACTTTGACTTCCAATTGATTAGGGTCAGCATCATGATATTGAAAAAAAACCCCAGCAATCGATGGAACGGTCACAAGAACTCTACAGATCAGTGAGGTCAGGAAAGAAATCCTGAATTTTATAACTTACATCAGAGAATTTCTAAGTAGTTACATAAAGTTGAATATACATTATTGGAAAATGGAGGCTTACATTTTCAATGACCCATCTTAGCTACTGATACTCGGTAGCAGTAGTATGATAATCAATCACAAGCGAAAACAACTTCCGCTCGACAAACGACTGGATTTGAAGTTATTCGCTGATTATCAAAAGATTATCGTGAAACACCTAAAGTTTAAGGCTCTTTAGGCTTGCACTTTGGAAATGATTTGTAATCTCTTTCCTGAAGTTATCAGTGATCCAAATTAATATGAAGCATGGAATAGTAACTGGTAAAATAATCTATACTGATCAGATGAATAGAATTTCATTATCATATTGGAACTTAATGTACCCAGTTTTATGCTAGTCATTACTACAATTTTAGTATGAACGGGAAATTATTCAAATATTCAGATTGAGACATAAACTAATACTTAATATTCCACTTCAACAACTGTTCCTTGTTTACTTCTACGTAGTGTGAAATGATACTGTTATCCATGAGACTTAAACGTAATTATAAACTAAGGTTATGTCATATTTACTTCCGTAGTCTAATCAAGTTGTAAACTGTGTTTATTAGGTATTTGAATCACTTTTCGGGTATCAATAGTTTGGATACATGTATAAAGTTCTTTCTTATACTTTTTATGTCTTTAAACTGAGTAATTGGTTAACACTGCTTTAATTATAGAAGTGCCTACTAATTCACGGATGAACTGTCTTAGACTCGAAAAGTTTGGTGAATTTGAGCCAACCAGTAAACGATTTAAAGATCTTATCGTCTAACTCAAGTCACCATTTAATGCTCTTTGAAACTGACACCCCGAATAACTTGGTTTCAGTGAAAATTCAAATACCCACTATATTAACAAATGATTGCTCAACAAAGTGGCTTGTAGAAAATAAGTAATGATTTAAAGAAAGTAAACATAGCACGACTAGTTTTTACATTTGCTAACGCAGTCAGTGTAAGCCAATATACAGCTAACTGATGCGCTTATATCAACGAGATTATAATTAGTTTTGTCGATGAGTCCCGGTAATACTGAGTCAAAGATAAATTCAGTGTTAATTGCTCTCACACATCAAATATATCTAAGTATCTATATATGGTAAAATTATTTTACCGACTTGAGTTTACCATGTTAGTTATCAACTAAAACTATTTATTTGCAATTTTTCCCAAGCGAACTGGTATTTCACTTTCACTAAAATTATATTTTCATTCATCTATATTTTTTAATGACCTAATTCCTAAAATTTATACAAACCCTTAATATCTTCTATAATGGTTACCCATTATATCTTGCCAATTCCAAATCCTAGATGGTTATCACCTGGTCACTTTATTCTTCTTGTCTATATTCAAATGATCTCAAACTTTTATAACCGCTTGAAATTTACAATAATTACATACTTCATCTTGTCAGTTTCCGAACTCTAAACAAGAATACTGCCACACACCCTTCCTGTATTTGCTAATTCTATCTCCAATAACCTTACAAAACCCTATTCACAAATATATATACGTATATATAGTTAATGACAATCGTTGTTATCCAAATTCTTTCTGTTATCAGTATCTATTACTTTGTTATATTATATCCCAGTGTTTTACTTTAAAAAGAATACAGTTGTAAGCAGCTGAAGATAAACTGCGATATAAGGTGAATTTACATTATTGTTCTTTCGGTTTTATTCGAATTCATAAAGGGAACCAATAAAATACGTTACTCAGCTTCATCATTTCTATAATTTCCATTAACACATTTATCGATGTGCCTCATCGGTCTAGGAATTTGACTTGACACATAGATCACCAGTTTAAACTGCGACATAGTATCAATAATCCTTAGACAGAATTTTTGTTCAATAAACCGGTACATGAACAATCTATACTTGATTTCTAACCCAAAAGTAGACACTGATGCATAGACTTAATCAGAAATATGTCAAATAATAATCTCACTTCTAAGGAATGAGAAATGCACTATTGGTGGTTCGATTTTTTGAGAGATATATATAAGTATACACACATGCTGACTAGGTTTAGTCAGTATACTTTCTCGTCACTCAGTCTTGTCACTGGAGTAGCCGGTTGGGCTCATGTGTAGGAACGTTGGATATCAACTAGCGTGTAGGAACTTTGGGTATCAGCTAGCGAATAATCAATTAACAACAAATCACATGGAAGTTACTCAGTAGTTTATAAACTTTAAATAGTGAATGCACTCTATGAATAAAGTTAGTTTTCCAAGTCAATGATCAAACATAAACCCGTATACTCATTTTTGGATTGCAACTTTTGTTAGCCCTGGAGATACCAAATGACTTCCCATGGAACAGGGTTCAATTCGGTGACCTAATGAGTAGAACTAGAATCTCTTAGGCATCAAGTCAGTGCTTCTAAATCGTTGTAGCATCAAGAGTGAAAAGCGTTTGAGTGGGGTTTCTTAGAGATCAGTCGTACCCAGTTTTTATATTTGAATAAAAAAACAGAACAATTATATCATTTTGTTACTATATATATATGCAAGAATACTGTACATAAAATAATTGCTTAAGAAGGAAGGTACAACTTTAGATGAGGAATTATATCACACAAAGGCTGTAGAACATCGTTTAAAAGACGTGGTTCTAATACTATAAGAGATTCAAATAAGCTTTTTAAGAGGGAATATGTCTCATTCTCTTCAATTTCACCTTTATTATCCCAAGATAACAGATCGATAAATGCAATCAGTGGAGGAATAATATCTGGTAACAATGTAGGACAAATTAGTGGCCAGCATGATTTTACAAATTCATTGACGCATTGTAACATAAGCACATAGACGGTGTCATATTCGTTTGACTCATTAGTAGTGACAGATTTACCATTCTAGATAAATATGAAAAGATAAATAAAAGCATAGTTATTTTCTAATTAACAAATAATACGAAAAATCACTATCCTATTTTCAAGTAATACTTATTTAAATCTAGTTTTTAACAGACTAAACAGTAACAAAAACCAGGAAACACCAGATTGCAGTTTAAAACGACTCATTAATGCATACTTCCTACCTGGTAGGTAGATGTAGTCGAATATGTTTATGTTTCAAAGTGAGTACGAGTACAAAAACCAACATCGTTAATTTTATCTATAAGCAGAAAACAATCCGCTAAACAAACGAATTCATATTATTGTGCTACGACTACTGATTTTCTCACTGTGATTAGATTTTCCATTGTTACTTTGCTGGAGTGAAGTACACTAATTTGATGGTTACCGGCTACCATAGGACTATATCTCTTAACGTTGCTCCACTGCCATGTGGATTAGACCTCTAGATCAAAGGTTCAGCGAGTGACCTCTTAAGACAACCACCTGCTTCAGTTTGGGTACCCGGACAGTATTCTAGCCCCATACAAATCGAATGACGTGTGATACACATATATTTGGTGCTTTCTTGTCCCAATGTTTGTGTATTTAAATAAGTAAAAATTCAGAACAATATGACTTGACGAAATATTGATAAATTGATAAAAAATTAAGAAAGAAACTCAATAACTAAACATTATGAAGAACTTACACGTGTTAACTTCCGTGGACCAAGTAAAATACTTGAGGTGACTTTTATGAATTGTCGAGTAAATAATGAGAAAGACGCTTTCAAAATATCGATTAATTTTGACAAATGTTTAAGTAGTACCAATTGACGTTTATATCGTGTTTCCATTAAAAGATCAAATAAAAGTCTTTCAGTAATTTTTTCATACCAATTAGCTGAATTTGTATTACTCAATAAATTAGTTAGAACAAGTAAAGTTGAATAAAGTTTATGAAGTAATATTTCTGATGAATTTGAACTACAAGCAATTCTATGATTTAATAATTGTGAAATAACTGCTTCAGCTCGATTACTTTGACGCCAGTCAGCAATCCTAGCTTTATTTGCTAAATTATATAAAACATTAAGACCAGCTAATTGTATAGATGAACGATAATCCTCTGTTAATCTTAAACCAAATGGTTGTAAAATAGAAATAAATTCATGTTCAGAAATTTCAGGATAATCAAGTTCCATAGTTAACCATACAATTGTATCACGTATTAATGGATAATGAGTTAATGAATAATCTTCATCATCATTACTATTAGTTGATTTGTCACATTTTTTTGCTAAATAAACAAGTGATAATTTTAAAATCTCTGAAGCTAAACTAAGTGAAGTATTCAACTTTGACAATGGATCAATTTTAATTAATAACAACTGTCTTATTGTTTTTACATTAAATTTTATTAAATATATATTAAAAATATCATTAATAAGTGAAATCAATTGATTATTACTATGTAATTTACAAGTTGTATAAGAATTACCAAGAATACCGCCTAAAATTATAAAAATATACGCTGAAATAGGTTGATTATCATTAATTAATTGTTGATTATTTAAAGTATTTTTAATATATACACAAATATCAATGTACATTTGAATTTGTTCAATCCATAAAGAATCAGAAATTTCAGCTTCATGATGTTTAAGCTTTGATGCTTCAATGATTTCTTTAGATTTCTTTATTAAGACTTGATTAGAAGACATTTATTATAAAGTTTGAATTTAGTCAAATAAAATAATAATTTTTTACTGATATATTACGTGAATCACAATTTGTAATTTATGATAATTATTGTTATTTTTCAATTTTCGTTGATTAAGAGTAGTTCCACTCTAGAATATAAAATGAAAAAGATGGGAAATATATATATGTATAGTTGTTACGAAACAAAATAATAGAGAAAATAACAGTAATTTAAAAGGTTTTGTTACTTATAAAAAAACTGTTTCAATCGGTCATGATCAATGCAGAGTTCGACTGCTGTGTGCACTAGTCTAAGTTGTTATAATGTATTAACACAGAGAGATGAAATCAACAAGATGAATTGGAAAAAAGGTTGAAATAAACGTATCAGCAGTAATAACAAGAAAAATTAGGTATTGAGAAGTCAAAATGAAAAAGATTGGTACGGAGGAATATTGAAAATCAAAATCGAAAGGAAGGTAAAGAGTGAATGTATTTGTGTTACTGTGATCGATTCTTAACTGCCATCCGACGTCTATAACCACTGATTATGGTTTCATGCCGACTCCAAGTAGTCTGTATCTATCTAGGCGACTCATATCATTAGTTGAAATAAACAATAACACAAAGTATGCTATTGGAATTGATTATGAATTATTTTATATGGGGTTGCTAATTTCTGATTTTTATCATTTCAAAGGGATTCCCAGGCATAAGCTTTCTACATCACCTTAATACTAAAAAAAACAACGAGCGACACTAAATTACGATCATACCTCGGTTTTAGCCACTAACAAAGCTTTGCTAGACCGACTTTATTTTAGTGGGGTAACTAGTAATTTGACATCTGTAACGTTTCCCAGAATTTTCAATTAGTAAACGTTTGCAAACTGGGCGACAGATTCCATTTAACAAAATACAGATTAAAATATTGTTCGTTTACATTTACAGCTACTAGATTTGGGTAGGAAACGAATGTCTAGAAATAATTAGGTGCTGACAAAAGAAAAAAAGCGTTTTGAAACGAAAAGTGACCTTAGATGAGAGCGAGTGACCAAAGTTCAAGAGATCAAACAGCTGTTTTCCGTTTCAAATTTTGCAGTCAGTTTACTTCATAGTTTCCGGCGTTAAATTAACACATTATGTGTATATTTAAAAAGCAACGTGGAGATAAAAGGCGAAACAGAGAGGTTATGTGCTAATCTGGACGATCTTTGGTGCTAACGTGATATTAGTCTGACTGCAAAAGGTAGTATTTTTCACAAAAGCAAGAACTTTTTAAGCTGAATAAATATATGACTTTTTCTAGTTGTTGCTGCCTTGATGTGGTGGTTGGGCTTCCCTATCGTGATGAAGCAACCGAGCTATACTGGCTGGAACAACCGTTCCTCAAGGTCCTACCATGTCAGACAGGTCGGTTGAAGAGCGATAAGACTAAAAGCAACAAACCCAAGGTCCAAAGGCGAATTCGTACTGCTGACTGTACAGAGGTGTGACAGCAGTAAGGTGTTTCCTTCAGACAACCAGCATGACAGCGATGCTGCCTTCCCACAAGAAGGGGTGGCATTAGAAAAAGTCGACCCCAAAAATGCACACCTCGCCTTATCCCACGGATATCCGTCTCTTGCAGTAAGGTCTCAACAAGTACGGAGCTAACGCAAAAATTACTCATAAAAAGGTCGTGTGTGATCGACCTCAATCAGTTGTCCCTTGGGCACTGCGGTCACACTCTCAGGTCACTAAGACCACCTCTAACCCAATTTCCTTTTCAGGTACTTGCAGAAGAACCCTTCCACGGTGTGTGCAACCGGGAAGTGACAACCGCCCTCATACCTCTAGCAGCACTCAAGACCACTGCATTAATAAACAATCTCTCTCTTTAATTCCTATTATTCCTCCTACATCGACTTTCAACGCCAAACTTCCTCTTTCGGCTTCCTCCTCAAGTGTCACCATAGCTAACGACTCTAGTGCGCAAAACACTGCCCCAGGCCTACTAAAACCTCGCTCCAAACTACACGTTGAAGCCTTCAACGTACGCACCCTATGTCAAATAGGTCAACAGGCTTCCTTGGCTAGAACCCTAGAATCTCGTACCATTGATGTATGCTGTGCCTCTGAAACACACATACAGGATCCCAGTGTAGTCATTCACTTGACCTCACCTCGGCAAAACAGAGAGCCAACTAGATACACCCTCCGTGTATCTGGTGACCCGACAGCCAGCTCTCGTGGACTGACAGGAGTAGGGATAGCACTAAGCAAGAGGGAGGAACAAGCACTGTTAGTGTGGATCCTCGTTAACAGTCGTTTATGTGCTGTTCGGCTAAACGGCTCCGTAAGAACTTGGAAGGATAGGGACACACTTCATTGCCTTTTCGTCGTTTCTGCCTACGCTACCACTGACTGCAGCTCAGATGAAGTGAAAGATGAATTTTGCAGAAAGCTCTCTGAACTTCTTCAGAAAGCTAAACGCTCAGACATAGTACTCGTAGCAGGTGACTTTAATGCCCAGATATGTAGTTTAAACCAAACAGAAAGGCATTTAGGTGAGTATTTTCGTATTCCGGCACAACGAATAGATAATGATGGTCGTCTGCTGCAACTGTGCTCAGACAATCGTTTATTTTTAGCAAACAAATTTTAAACATAAGGAAAGACATCGTCTAACAAGGCGACCCCCTACACCAAACCAAGGATGGACTCAAATAGACCATATTGTCATCAGTCATCGTTGGAGAGGGTCGGTAGAAGATTGTCGCTCATTCCGGAGTACCTGTTTGGACTCCGACCATGCCATAATACGGGCACGCATCTGCTTGCGCCTCACTGGACACAAAAAAGTCACACAAAAAAGACATCTATTAGTGATTTAAACCACAGGGTAACAAAGAACCAATGGATTTCTTCAAGGTCTATTGCACTGATGGATTCTCGTAAACTCATCCCATCAGGTTGTGAACACGATGAAGAGCGACAACAAATCAGATCTAGGTTAAGCAAAAGTCTAAGGACTTTTTAGCCCCCAAATGCCCTGGTACGGCCGAGAGTGGGGAGAGTCCGCTCACCCTTTCAAAATACTCTCACACGGCCACGCGTATATAGCCTCTGTCAGGGAAGTCCTACTCACTGCCTTCTCGTGGTGGGGGTGTTGTTTATGAAAATGAGAGGACGAAAAGCGAATGTCCGGCGCTTTAACCGGATTCCAAACCAATGGTGCACATGGGCTCCAGTATCCTGCGGGAACAAATGGCGAATGAACCAATTGTTGGTCACCGGCTTCCATGGGACTGCATCTCCTTACGATGCCCCACTGCCTTGTGGGTTAGACCTTTATGTCAAAGAGTGTGGCCCCCTAAGAAAACCACCTGCTTCGGTTTGGGCACCCGGGCAGCATCACAGCCCTCACACATATCAAATGAGATTTGTGTGGCGCATATGTATTTGGTGCCTCTTTGTACCATTATATATGTGTTGAAATAAATAAATAAATGTCTAAGGAACGACCGAGAGCAGTGGTGGGCAACGAAAGCAAAAGAGATGGAGAATGAGGCGGATATAGGGAACACAAGACAGCTCTACAAACTAATACAAGAAACTGGAAGTGTAAGTCAGACTATTTCGGAAAAAGACGACACCCTCATCTGCTCTCAGTCCAGACGCTTAGAACGATGGACGGAACATTTCAGAGAACAGTTCAGCTGGCCTTCAACTACCCTCCATTCCCAGACAGTGTGAAAGGAACATTGAAGTAAGCTCCCCAATTCTAGCAGAAGTTCAAAAGCCTATAGCTAATCTGAGACGAGGAAAGGCAGCTGGTTCAGATGGACTGGCTCCAGAGGTCTTAATTATTTATTTTATTTTTATTTTAACATATAGATATTGGTACAAGAAGGCACCAAATAGATATGCGCCACACAGATCTCATTTGATATGTGTGAGGGCTGTGATACTGCCCGGTGCCCAAACCGAAGCAGGGGGCCACACTTGGAGCCTTCGACTTGAAGGTCTGATCTACAAGGCAGTGGAGCAACGTGAGGAGATGCAGTCCCATGGTTACCGGTGACCAACGATTGGTTCATACGCCAACTGTTCCCTCAGGATACTGGAGCCCACGTGCACCTTTGGTTTGGAACGAGGGTTTTCCAACTCCCCTAGGTGGACTCACCGTGTCCACCGGCCTAATAAATCGCCGGACATTTGCTTTTCGTCCTCTCAATTTCGTAAGCAACACCCCCCGCCGCGAGAAGGCAGTGAGTAGGACTTTCCTGGCAGAGGGTATATACGCGTGGCCATGTGAGAGCATCTTGAAATGGAGAACGGACTCTCCCCACTCTCGGCCGTACCAGGGCGTTTGGGGGCCCAGAGGTCTTTAAAGATGATGGTCCAATTTTAGCGATTAGGTTGACTAATATTTTAGTTAAGATCTGAGAGTTGGGCGTTATCCCATCTGACTGATCACAATCACTTTACTCGAACAATAATGGTCGCGTCAGATCTATGGCGAACTGTCATCTGCTTTTGCAACCTCAAGTGGTGTCCATCGAGGCTGTCCACTTTCTCTATTTTTGTTTAACATCATCATAGACCTCCTGGTGGGAATAACGCTCTCGTCGACTGAATCTTCGGGCATTGATCTCCTTCCAGGAGGTTCACTTATCGACTTAGAACACGCACATGACATAGTCCTGCTTGGCAAAGACGCAGATAAAATACCGTCTTTTGGCAGCACTAAGCAACAATGCCAGAATGTTTGGAATGCGCTTCTCTCCCTCTAAATGCAAGTTGTTGCTTCAGGACTAGTCTGCGTCAACACCTGAACTAAGGATAGGGAATGAAGTTGTCGAAGGCGTTGACAACTTCACTTATCTCGGAAGTCTGATCAGCCCTAATGGGTTGGTGTCTGACAAAATCGCGGCACGGATTCGAAAAGCTCGCTTGGCTTTTGCCTATGGCCAAGGCGAGATATTCGCCTATCAATAAAAGGACGAGTATACTGAGCGGCAGTCCGTTCTGTTTTAATTTACGGCAACAAAACATGGCCATTAAGAGTAGAAGATACTCGTAAGCTACTAGCATTTGACCACAGATGCCTTAGAAATATTGCTGGCGTCTGCTGGGATCACCGGGTAAGTAATTGTGAGGTTAGACGCATGGTATTAGGGAATGATGATGGTAAATCAGTTGATGAGGTTGTGAATCTTCATCGACTGAGATGGTTGGGCCACGTGTTACGTATGCCTGAACACCGATTACCACGACGTACAATGCTATCCGGTATCGGAAATGGTTGGAAGAAAGTTAGGGGCGGCCAAACCAAAACGTGGCATCAGTGCTTGAAGTCACTAACTTCTGGTCTGAGCCATGTTGGTAGATGCAGACTACTTGGTTGGGGTCCGCGTGACTATCGTAACCAATGGTCCGAGACTCTTGGTGACATGGCTCAAAATCGATCACAATGACGTTGGTGTATACACTCTTTGTCTTCCCTTAAACTAAGAGATTAAAATCACTTCATATCTTTCTTTCTACGAAGTAATTCTTTCTTCCTGTATTATATCCTTATTGCAATCTTTCCTTTATATATTACCACCACTGACTTAACCACTCCTATGAATCCAGTGTTCATCTTGCTGTGCTAATGCGGTACGGCAACCTGGAACGATGCATTCATGTGCCTGGTCCTACGTTGTAGCTGACTGACTAGTTGATCTGTTTCTCCCAGTTTATGCAACTCTAATCCACCTATTTCTACCCCTTGTTTTGATAAAACTCACATCAGTTAAATAATAATGGTGTATCATTATCATATGAAAACAAACAGTCAGTCAGCATCAATTGTAAATGAGAATTCTAACTGCTTTATAACCCTCATTTAGTCCTAATCAGTAAGTGTCCATCCTCATGGCCACTTCAGCGTCGCTCAAAGATCTTCCATTAATTATAATCTCACAAAAAAAACGTTTTCATTAGATTGCTATTCGTAATAATTAACTCATCGGGGGTCGCTCGGTAGATTACCGTAGTTTACTAATACACTACAGATCATTCTGAGCATTATATGTTGGCAATACTATTCCCAATTTGGTCTCAAAAAGACAAAATTCACTCACTTTTGAATTCCGTTCCGGAAATATAAACCAATTCTCTTGACCTTAATCGGCTTGCTTCACAACATTTAAGGGCCTGCATACGGGAATCAATTGCGTAACCTTCAAATTGCCGCTCCAACTGTCTTATTCACTATTTAGTATCCAATACCATTATAATTAGCTTCTGCAAAAGTGGAAGTATATTACATCTTTTTGCCATACATCCTGGTGACTTATCAGACCCGTGTACCAATGAACTGACATCCGCGTGATTTGAAAAGGACAGTGGTATTAATACTTGTTAAGTTAACTCTTTTTTAAAATAAATTATGCATCAAAACTACTGTTTACACTTTAGTTGAATCTACCTCAGCTAGAGTTGTACTGTGTATTCATTGCATCAAAGCACACTTGGTCAACTTTGACTTAATTTATTTAAAGTTTGAGATTTTTCGGCATACCCATTTTGTTGATACCATTTTTAGTTGAATATTGAGATATCCGGCTCTGATCACAAATGTAAACAACCATATTGCTTATCCCTATTGAGGAAGGAGTGCAATGTTGTGAGTGCAAGACGTGGCTCCATAAGATGTGTACCTGCTTAAGCCCCACTGCATATAAAAGGTGCTCAAAACCTAATTCTCATTTTGGCTCTATATGTTTTGTTGTTCCAAAAAACGTTACTCACCAAAGAAGCAATAAGCCTCCTGGCGTTGGCCAGTAGGAAGGTTGACGGTGGCCTCTCTGTTAACATGGGTGCTGATGGTGAAGATTGCGTCAATGTCGAAAGTGCTATCACGGCATATGCCAGACACCCAACTGTGCAACACGCAATCGAGCTTTGTATCCCGAAACAACTAATGAGCGATATGCCACTGGATATTGGTGGCCAAGCCGCTACAGCAGCGACTGATGATCCAGACAAAACCACTACTGTCCCGAGTAGTTCTAATATAGATGCTGCGACTGATGGGAAGTGGATAGTGCGGAAAAGTAGAAGAGTAGGTAAGATAACCAAAACTAATGCTCGGTTAGTTGAAAAGTTTTGGGTGGACTCCCATTCTACGCGTCAGATTTTTCCGCCAAAACCCCGAAGCAAAACTTCATCAAACATTTTTGTGAGTCATTCGCTCAACTCTCACGACTCTGTTACAAAGATACCAGCAGCTAATATGCAAGATCTGACATCACGGTGAAAGCCATGAACACGATTCTCAAAGAAGTTAAACCTTTCCTATCTTAATTGTTTGGAATCTGGAGGAGTTGAAAGACAATTACTCTGCTAAAAGATATACAAACGAACTGCAGTTAGTGAAACCTGTAATCAGAAATGTTTCAGGGGTTTCAGAGGTGCATATCACGAAAGTAATACGACTTGGCAAATAGGTCGAAGGCGAGACCTAACCAAAAAGAACCTTGTTGTTGATACTCAGGAATTTTGAAGAAAGCGATGTGGTACTGAATAACGCACTCAAAACTCGTGATTCAAATATTTGTATCCGACCAGATTGGCAGCTTACGGATCGAATCAAGTGGAAAAATGCTATTACACAGTTAAGAACTCGAAAGCTAAATAGCGAAATGAACCTTACAATTACGGGTTTTCGGGTAGTCAAATCTTGGAAGCCAATGCTTCAGAAACTTGTATGGGTTGAACGAATAACTCTAAAAACATGTTCAGTGTGTGCTACACAAACGTCCGTAGTCTTCAAAACATAAAGTCCAAGCTAAGTTTGATGGTGGATGAACTGAATTCTGACATAATTGTTGTCACAGACTGTTCTGCCATCATTGCAGGCTACGTCTGTAATAGAAGTGATAAAGTTTTAAGTCGAAAGAGAGGACGCATAATTTTATACGTTTGGGATCAGTTTCGTATGAGACCAATCATATCGGAGGCGCATGTTAGTGGTGCATGTGGGGTAGCATGTTGTAAAATTAAATCTAGAAACTGGTTAGTGACTATAGGAGGAATATACCGTAGTCCGTAGTGTCTTGCTGACGACTTTATTTTAAGACACATCTGTTCTTGGAGTAAGACAAGATGTTGTCTTATCGATGGAGACTTCAACGCACCGCGTATCAACTGGATAGAGCTTACAGCTTTAGATGGGGGTTTCGATAGCGACCTTCTGTCAACCCATGTCTGGTAAAAATACTAAATCACTTGAGCGTATTCAGAGTGTTGGAACGAAATTAGTGAAGGGTCTTTCTAAACTCCCTTACGACAAGCGTTTAAAACACTTAAAACTTTTCCCGTTATCGTATCGTAGGATGCCTGGTTACCGTAGACTGTTATTTTGTATCTTAAATTATGGTTTGGGTGTTAATATATATCTGGTCTTTTTGCTCCATCCAGCACTAATAATCTCTGAGGTCATAGCAAGAATGATAACAAACTGCGATCTAATAAACTTAAAGTGGGGTCCTGTTTTTCACATCGAGTAGCCAATCACTGGAACTCCTTACCCGAACAAATCATATCAGCCCCATCAGTGAATATATTCAAGGAGAAGCTGGACATTCACTAAAAGGCAATCTGTCAGTGTAACGGTCGAACTGCCAACATTCGGTTTGAACCCAAAACTAGACCAGACCTCGTTCTTCTGTATAGCGTTCAAAGCCTTTTTGAGTTGTTTGTATTAAATTATACCAAAACACAAACTCTATGCTAGATTTAAACGGTTATAATTCAGGAAATAGAACAGAGTGTATCAAAAATACAAAATAACTCAAATGGTACAGCTTGTACTATACAGTCAAAAGTTTCTCTAACACAAAGTAGCATGCTAAGCAACAAAGAAAACAATTAATACAAAAGAGTTCAATACCTGAGAATCAATAAAAATATTTCCAACAAGATGGGATCACATCTGCAGGGATTCCAGCAATCTTTCCAAGCAGACAGTCAAAAGTTAACAGTCACAAACTGAACCACACCGTGACCTTGAGCCTAGCCAAACACGACCTTATTGTCAATGGTCCGGCAAAACGCAATAGAAAATTAGGAAAAAAGGTAAGTCTTCAATCAAAACCACAAAGTAAAAGGTCAAACGAGGAGGACTGAAGAACACAAAATGTGGTCGAAAGAGGTCTGGACAAAGGTTAAAATGCACGACAGGGAGAAGAAATTAATAAATGACAGTTCTGCTCAACGAAAATGTTGTCTAGGGATTTTCAGCGTTTTCTTTCCGTTACATTCAGGATTAACACAGGTTCAACAACCTACTATCCTTATTACTGAAGACTGATATACGTCATTCCCTGGATTACTGTAAGTCAATACGGATGGCATATTTTGCTGTATTGGGTATGTAGTTTCATTGGAATCGCTAGAGTTGGAAAAGAGATGATGCTTTTTCTTTTCGCTAAATCTGTATTGTTTACTTTATTTTATGTGAGGTGGATGCAATTCTTCATCTTTTCCCACTATCGGGTAATATGGTGAGCTAATTGTTCTACAACTTTCCATTTCCTGAATGTCAATGAATAAATTCGTTGTTCTAAACGTTGTCTCCCTGTAATATAACGTCATACTACCTAGTTTTAAGTTTGACTTGATCTAATTAAGCCTGATCAAATATTAACAACAAGTTGAGGTGATCATTACTAATCGTATTAATTTTTGGCTTCTCGTGTTTTAAAGAGCCGAATGATCATGAGTTGATCGACATCCGTATCTGGCTGTTAACGGTTAAGACAATCTAGCTCTTACTCTTCCCTCGAATGTAGTCAAAATGAAACTGGTAAACTGAAAAAATATTGCTTTAATATGCTAATATCTACTTCCAGCGAATAAAAAACTGCTGTTATTCAATTATGTAAACCTTTCCTTTATGTATGTGTAGAATTATGGTCTGCTATGATACCAGTACTGCTCTAATAATAGACCTAATCCAAAAATTGTAGATTTGTCATTATATAACTGACTAATTTAACTCCGCCTGGAGTACCTCCGGGGGCTTCTGCCGGTCAAAAACCCGGATAAAGGAGAAGGGTTGGGCATGGGGTTAGCGTTCCCATCCCGTAGAAAACTAACTCGCTAAAAAAACGCTAACCAGGAAAAATTATTCAAACCTTTTAACCTCTGCCTTGGGAGTCAGAAGGTCTTCATTTAGAAGAACTATGACGCTTCATGATGAAAGCCGAATTCCTTCGGAAGTTACGAGGCCGATGCCCCTTCTGACAACCATAACGACCATTTATTTAGGTACATGGAATGTTCGTACAATGTGGGACACCGGGAGAGCCTTCCAAATTGCTGCAGAAATGAAAAGATACAACATAGAGGTACTTGGGATCAGTGAAACACATTGGACGCAAGTTGGACAACAACGACTAACTTCAGGAGAGCTTCTGTTATACTCCGGTCATGAAGAGGAAAATGCCCCACATGCACAAGGAGTTGCATTGATGCTGTCCAAACAAGCGCAAAATGCGCTTATAGGATGGGAATCTCATGGACCAAGGATCATCAAAGCCTCGTTCAAAACAAAAAAGGAGGGCATTATAATGAATATCATCCAATGCTATGCGCCTACCAACGACTACAATGAAGACGCTAAAGACCAATTCTACAATAGGCTGCAGTCAATCGTCGAGAAGTGCCAAACAAAGAACCTGACCATTCTGATAGGAGATTTCAACGCCAAGGTTGGAACGGACAACACTGGATATGAAGACATCATGAGACGACATGGGCTGGGAGAAAGAAACGAAAATGGTGAGACATTCGCAAACCTATGTACCTTCAATAAACTGGTCATAGGTGGAACCATATTCCCACATAAACGCATTCACAAAACCACATGGACTTCAATGGATCACACCACGCAAAACCAAATCGACCATATTTGCATCAACAAAACGTTCAGGAGGACTATAGAGGACGTGAGAACCAAGCAAGGAGCTGATATAGCCTCAGATCATCACTCGCTGGTCGCCAAGATGAAATTGAAACTCAAGAAGCACTGGACAATGGGGCGGACAATATCACAAAAGTTCAATACGGCCTTTCTTCAGGATACTAACAAACTCAACAAATTCAAGATAGTTCTCAGCAACAAGTTCCAGGCCTTTCATGATCTACTCAATGGTAAAGAAACTACTGTGGAGAGCAACTGGAAGGGGATCAAAGAGGCAATCACTTCAACATGTCATGAGGTCCTGGGTCACAAGAAGCACTATCACAAG